CACCTCGGCTGGTGATGAAACGTTTGCAAACAACTTGCCAAGCTCGGCCAACAGGTGAGATGGAATAGCTAATGTTAGCTGATGTTGTGGTATTTTAACCGAAAATTAAAATCCTAAAGAATAAGAAACAAGTGAAACGGGTAGGAAAACTCGGGAATAAAAAGCTAACTTGAAAACACCGTCCAAAACGGAAACCGAACAGTGAGAATTCGCAAGTGGCGTAAATTCGACACAATCTACGCCGATAACAGACCCGTAAAAGTACACGAGATATGTAGAATTAGCTAATTCCTAATTAACGGAAATTACGTTCCATTTGAATCGCTTGGGTTCAAGCTAGTAAGATCAATCGTGTGTGACGAATCTCCGATTTTTCGGTTGATTCATTTTTGCAGTTCCGCTGTCAGATGATTGACGACGACAAGCGAAAAATTAAAGGTTTGCAAAAAAGACGGTTTGTCAGTGTGTCTTGCCTGAAAGGGTTCACTTGAGATGAACTCCGTTTCTCGGTGCGTATCTTCTCAGTTTCGGCTGATTCTGATTTAATACTGCTCATATTTGTAAGTAGTATGTTCGGATTGCGCAAAAGAACGTGACTGTTAGTTTCTCACAACGATCAAAAATAAACAAAGAACTCTTAGAGCGAATTCGTGTTCAAAATTGTAAATAAAGAAAATGCGCATCTACTGTCGGATTATGCCATCAATTATTCTGTGAGCCTCTCGGGATTATGATAACCTGTTCCAAAGGAGACATTTCGTTCTACGTAGTCTTATTCATTCCTATCCGATGCTGTTCTCTGGATAAATATGTTCCTTGATCCGGTACTGGAGTTTGGGAACTATAATATTAATAGTTTGAGGCACCATGAACACGCACAGTTTGCAATCGCTCATATGGACAAAATAAGTGTGCACTGCTCCCAAGGTTTTCGTTACAATTACGGTAACAGCGTGACGACCGAAGTTCTCACCATTTTATAGCCTAGCAAACAAACGACATAGATTATTGATCCGAAGAGAACTAAGATATTGGAATTTGACACTAATTTCAAACAACTGGGTAGTTAAGTCTCACCGATGCCTCGAGAAAATCCATCTGATTCCGCTACTGTATGTTTATCAACCACATGATCTAGGATTTACTTTGCCCAGTCCAAACACATTCAGATAAGAAATTTTAAATTACCAATTTTGTACATTTCCACACACACATTGAGTATCTAAACTGGATAAGTATGTAACAAACCTGTCCAGAGAGAGCTTAGATATACCGATAGCATTGAATTGAGCTGCCTTTGTTTGTGAAAAAGTCAAATTCGTATTATTATTATTATTATTATTATTATTATTATTATTATTATTTGGAAGTGGTGGAAGATTTTATTTATGTGGTGGATTTCGACATTCACGGAGTAAGTAAAGCATGAACCGAAAAGCCTGCAAGCACTGTATAGCTGTTTAAACCCGGCTGGGTTTCATCAGCCGTGCGTATCGATTAGTCCAACTGCGGATCAAATCTGGGACCTCAAAGGCAAAACGCCATAATACTAACCACCGATTATTATCATATTAAAAAAATCAATTAGAAACTCTCAAGTTTACTGATCAAAATGGTTTGTTTACGTAGAAAAAAACAGATAACAATTTTGATTGGAATTGATTCTTATCCATGATGTATAAATCACAGGAAATTACGCAAACTATGAACTGGACGCTAACGCAATTGTAATGGATCATACACACGCAGCCAAAATTTATCAAAAAGATTTGTTTCACCTGTGAACGATTAAACAGGAAAAGGATGGTTGCGCTGAGCCGTGCGTATTTTTGAGTTTGTTAATTGATCACTTTTTACTCCATGAGTCTCACTACTTTAGGAATTAATTGGTTTTGCACTTACGCAATAATTGTTTTCTGACTAAGAGAACTGTTCCTTCATTCAGATCAAAATTATTGAGATTTTTGTCAAACCGTCCGGAGTAACACTCTGAGGGCATAGACAAACTCATTGAATGCACGTTGTTGCCAATGTGACTTTCTGTCACCCGCCAACATTTTACAATCGAATGAGCGTAATCATGACTAGTAGAATAAAACTCATCACTTTCATTCCCCGATCGGGAATTGTTTCAAGCAACATACGCGAGAAGTACGCAGCAATGTGATAAGTTCATCTTTTTCGGCATTCAGAGCCAAAACAGATGGGGGAACTCACTTTCATGGTACAGTGTGAAACTGATTTGCATCAAATGTGTGGCCGGAGCAAAGTCGTCTGTCTCGTTGCACTGGACTAGAATCGGTCCAATCAATTCGGCCAGTCCGTTCAGTACCGTCTGGGGGACAGCCTTCACACCACCAACCTTTGACACACAAAAAACAAGATAATTATGGTGGAAATGAAGTTCGGGAGATCGGAAGTTGAGCTGGAAAATGATTCCCCACCGTCTTTTAAAAATGAATGTCAAATGAAGTCGGGTATTCATGTAGGAGGTATGCTTGTGTTCGACCTGTGGGGTCCCTGGTCCGATCCCCAGTTAGGTCAATGAGTTTACACTCCCGGTGAGACCCAATCAGGTCAAAACGAATGTACAGTAGTTCCTAGGTTTTAAATTCACGCTTTATTTGCTTTGTACATGACGATATCGACGTGTTTTATTGTATTTTGTTCATAAAACTAAAAAGTGAAACTTTATAGACTGCAAATTTTTTCATCTTCTGCACGGTATTTTGTTCTATAACCTGCAAAAATCCGTATATTATTTGATGAATCGGTGCAACCTTGAAGATCCCGGAAGATTTTCGAACATGTGAAGCCAAAGCCTCTCAGGTATGTAGGTCATGTTAACTATATTCTAGACAGGACAACCTTCTGAACTGGAACAAAAGGGGAAAACGCGATATCAAAGCAAAATGCAACCTTATTTCAGTGTGTGCAGAGCGAAGGAAAACAGAAACCAAATCCAGTTTCAACTGGTCAGTCTAACTTGGGATCGATCCGAACAATTCAGAGGTAGAACACAATCGGATAACTGATCGAACTATTACAGTTACACACATTTAGTGAATAAACGTGCAACAAATAATGTCCAAAACGAAAATGCCTTGATTGGACGGTACGGAAGTGATGAGGAGTGGTTGAGAAAGACGTTTATTCACTAAATGTATATATCTGTATTAGTCAGAGGATGGAATTATCGCAAATGAGGTTTTTCGCCACTCGTATTGTTCTGTCAATGTCATGATGGAAATTTTCAGAGATTGAACTATTTCACTTTTTATACCAACACTATATAGAACAAACCATTCTTAGTGCGGGCACTTGAAAACGCTTTCCCGAATAGGGGCTTCCGGAATTTTGACTTGATTTGGAACATTCCTAGTCCGACTGATTACTTGTTGCAAGGGTGTATGTAGACAAAATCAATTAGTCCGTATAGAGGTGCTACGTGGTTAAACGGGCAATATACTCGCATTTTGTTCGCGTTTGGATGAGTCTGCTCTGTGAATGAGGTCTGGAATAGCTAAACACTGGTTTCCAGTCTATCAGTTCATATTTAGTTCGCATTAAATATGAAGAAAGACCCCATGTAACATAATTAAACTCTTTACACAACTCTTTGAAAAGTACGATTATTAGGTTAGGTAGGTGCTGGGATCTACAGTCAACCGAAACGTATGTCGTGCACATCTGTGACCCAATGGCCCGATTGGCAGATGTTGTCTGAACCCACACGCGCACG